GGCAATCAAAATAGATTTCTATGTCTCAGAATATGTCTTTAGATAGTGTCTAAATACCTGCCAAATATCTCCTTGATATCTCAATCAAAAAAAAGTTATGCCCAAAAATGATGCTAAAATTGTCAGGAGTGCAACACCTTTTTGTGACATTTTGAAATTTCAATCTTTTTTGGAGATCTGTAAAATAAATAATAATGGTTTATGTTGAAAATAAAGACTTTCCTGACAATATTCAAAGTATTGAGCTTTAAATGTGGACTATAGTAACTTTTGTTAAATCAAGTTGTGGTCATGGCTGATGTTTAAAAAAATGTTATACCATGTCAGGAGTGCAAAAGAAAAAATGTAGTGTTGCCAAAAAAAACATCAATTGTAAAATTCTGAAAGAAAATTAAGACAAACAAGATGTGTTTGTGAAACACCGATGCCCCCGTATGGCAACTTATAGCAAAGGTTAAACTTTCTCAAATGCAAATCAAATATGTTGGTACCCAAAGTAAGGTCATGTCTCGAGGAATGTACCTGTGAAATATGAAAGCCCTAGCAGCAACCATTGAATAGATATGGAAAAGGTTAAAGTTTTTCAAAAGTAAATCAAACATCAAGGTCAAGGTCAAATGATCAAAATTAATGATGCTTAAGGAAAGGCCTTCTCACAAAAAATACTAGTATACAGGTGAAATATGAAAGCTGAAGAACCAATCGTTCAAAAGTTATGACCAAGGTTAAAGTTTTTCGAAAGTAGGTCAAACTCCAAGGTCAAGGTCAATGGATTACAATTGTTGGCATCCAAAGGAAGGTCTTGCCACAAGGAAAAACCATGTTAAATATGAAAGCCCTAGCAACAACTTTTCAAAAGTTGTGTCCAAGTTTAAAGTTTTCCAAAAGTAGGTCAAAGTTCAAGGTCAAGTTCAAAGGGTCAAAGTTGTTGGTATCCAAAGGAAGGTCTTGTCACAAGGATTATATATGTGAAGTATGAAAGACCTAGCACCAGCCATTCAAAAGTTATGGCCAATGTTGAAGTTTTTCAAAAGTAGGTTAAACTCCAAGGTCAAAGTCAAAGGGTCAAAGTTGTTGGTATCCAAAGAAGGTCTTGTCACAAGTATTACATATGTAAAGTATGAAAGCCCTAGCACCAACCGTTCAAAAATTATGGCCAATGTTAAAGTTTTTCAAAGGTAGGTCAAACTCCATGGTCAAGGTCAAAGGGTCAAAGTTGTTGGTGTCCAAAGGAAGGTCTTGTCACAAGGATTACACATGTGAAATATGAAAGCCCTAGCACCTAGTTATGGCCAAGGTTAAAGTTGGGGAAAATTTTGCAAAACTGGGTCAAACTCCAAGGTCAAAAGGTCAAATATGGTGGTACCCAAAGAAAGGTCTTGTCACAAGGAATACACAAGTGAAATATGAAAGCCACAGCTCTAACCAATTAAAAGTTATGGGCAATGTTAAAGTTTTTGCGGACAAACAGACAGACGGACGGACAGAGCAAAAACTATATATCCCCGAATCTTCGATATGGGGGCATAAAAAGAATATTCGCAGTGTAAAACAATAACTGATATATATTTTAAAACTTAAAAATGTTATATAAATCACAAGCAGCATTAATTAGAGTCAAGTACATGTGCATACCCAATAACGTCAGGATTGCAACATTTGATGTTTTGCTCCCAATTAAGCATGAAAAATCTATCATCATTATATAATTTTCTTGTTTTTTATTTTGGAAAATAAAGACACAAAGAACATTTTTACCAAATAGATTTATCAATTACAGGGTCTGTCTGTGCCTCAGATCTATATTTCTATGGTCAGGAGTGCAACACATTTTGTTAAAGATTCAAGTTGTGTGAAGAAAACACTTTATTCATGCTTAGAAGTATTCACTAATTAATAATGATCGTTTTGTATAATTTAATACTAAATTATTGACAGTTTTATTATTATAATCCGTCCTTTTTCAATTTTATCAATTCAGATGTGTTTTTATCTTTTTTCTGATTTTTTAAATGAACGTTAAAAATAAACACACTAAAAAATTGTCATAAAATTCAAGTAAATCCTTCTCAACTTCACTGAAACAACAGAACAAGTTCTTTTGTAATTTTCGCTTCACAATTATACTTTAAAGGCCCCAATGCTTTTGGTCAGGAGTGCAACAAATATGTTAGAATTATAAATCATCAAATAAGAATAAAGATAAAGAAAAAATGATGAGTAGAATTTTTCTGGTGGGTTACTGTGTTTGTCCTCTAAAGGAAAATATGCTATAAAATATGTTTTATCTTCTAAATATACATTTAAGCTAGTTTTTTGGCATAAATAGGGAATAATTCCAGATAAAATGTAAATTTTAAATACATTCATCTGTTTGAATTATGAAGTATTGGACCCCAAATATTGCACAATTTCATTACCACTTGATGTTGCCAACACCTTATGAATTTTTGTGTTCTATGATTTTAATTTTAAAGTTTACTGCAGTCAAGAGTGCAACGAAACTGCTTTATAATTAACAATGCTTTTTAACTATCTTTACTTAAACAAGTTGAAAAAAAATGTTTGATACTATTTGATGTTCAAAACACTATGTCTATCAACAAATTACAGAAATTTTACAGTCAATTCAGGGAATAGTTTTCATCTTTTCACATATATTTTTAAATACAATTTATATATATTACACTTTGCAAATATAACATGTTTTAAGGTCTTCAAAATATGAAAAACCTGCCGTAAACGATGAAAAATATACAAACGACAAATTGATTTACAAAGTAAGAATGGGTTATTGTGTGTTATAATTTTTAAAACAATGTTAAATAAAATACATATCAGATGTCAGGAGTGCAACACAATAAAGTGAAATAGGGTCACTTCAAAATCAAGTATTTTTTGTAAGAGAACTCATATATAAATATTCTTTTTTGGCTTAGGTTTAAAGAATTGACTTGAACGGACAAAAAGGGAATTTGGGGGAATTTTATTGCTTCATATTTTTTCATATTGAAACTTTTCAAACCAGAATTGAAAAAATTATGTAAAATTACAATCAAAAAGCCAATTTTTTGTCACTTATACAAGAGAAGATACTCAATCAAGGTCTAGATTTAATCATTTTACCATTTTGAAGCATAAAAAACTATAACTTCTTGTGATTATGTATTTTAGAAAGTCTTTAAAGGTGTAATGCTATTTTCTTTTTTCAAAAGAAATTTTACTAATAAAAATTCTCAAACTTTTTAATCCAATTGTCTATTCTATTGCCACTTCGGGATTTTAAACTAGAATGCATGTGCAATATGATGATATAAGTGAAAAATATGTTGTAAGTAGTTGAATTTTTCCAAAAAAATTCAGTTTGGTGGTCTTCTTTTTTTAATTCACCCTTTAGGCACAACAATATGTATCTCTCTCTTTATTTGAATGACCAGTTGTGACATTTTGCAAATGATTTATAATGCATAAGAGGGAGGCAATCTTGAGAAATATTGTGAGCCACAATATTTAGAAGTGCATCATGTTCCGTGTACAATGATATAAAAAAAACTGTTTTTGTACTAATCTATTAAAATTTAACATCTTTGGAGGTCACAGACTAATAAAAGCGACCAAAAGTTAACACTCTTACGCTCTTCATGTCTTAAGGACCCTCTATAAACTAGAGGAAAATACTTTTTGGACATTGAAAAAATTATAGTGTGTAAAGGTGTAAATATTGAGCTTATCTATCACATTTTCAACATAGGGTGCCTTGAATTTACCCCCAGGAAAAATGTTCAAAGACAATGAAGTAATGATGAACAGAAATCACTGTTGTTAAATTTACTTACGTGGGCAAAATACCTCCAAATGAAGTGTTCTATCTATTCCTCTTGGCCTATTAAAGTGTTATGAATGCTTGATTTGATCACAAATTAAGTAAGAAAATGTATATTTCAATTTATTTTATTCATGATCAAAGGGCAGATCACTCTATCTGCATAAAAATACCACAAAATCAGAACTCTTTAGTGTACAGTGTATAGAGGGCTCTTAAGTCTGCATGAACCTTAAAAACGCTGATTTATGCATATACAATCAGCTTTCCTACATACTACCTATACAAGCGTCTCGTGCTTTTTAAGACAGGGCTCTTATATGTAGTGTGTATTTTTAACAAATATTTAAATGTATGTAAGATGCATCAATAAAATAGCTAAAAGAACTTGTTTAAGTTAAATCATATGGTGATCTCGAATTATTCCTATACAGTGCAAAGGGCGTCAGTAATGTGATAATTAAAAATGAATTTCTGTGATACAAGAAGACAAATTAAATTAGATTTATAAAATTTAATACCAACTGAAAAGATAATCATATTTTTAGCACTTTGTACATTTTTCTCGTTGTCGTCTTTTTCTGTTCTTTTCCCTTTCACAAATGAAAATAACGAGGATAGACATATTGGATTCAAAATAATCAGAGTACTCGGAAGTCTCTGGTTTTATTTTATTATTTATTTTCATGCCCCAGTAATCGCTACAGAACTCGACGGGAAAATAAAGTTGGTAGATCATAAAGCTACCAATTGTGCGCTACTCTGGGGCTTGTTTTCTTAACATGGCCTATCTCTAAGTATTTTATGCTAAAAAGTTCTTAAGCCATTTCACTACTGAAGTTGTCACTTTATTTTCTAAAGAAAGTCTTTAAATTGCCTTCATCAGCCACGGAAGAGTGAGTGCATTATTTTTTTTTTCCGATCAACGATCGCCATATGTACCTTTAAATAAAATCTTTAAACAAAATTCTTCACTTTCCCAGGTTTGTGAAGACGTTTAAAACAATTTATGAGACAAGTAAAGCAGGAAAATGTCTTAAGAAGTTTTTGGTATCAAGAAATTGATGACAGGTCTCTATTGTAGAAATAGACGATTAAGGAAACCGTGATATTGCATGATTGCTTGCAAAGTTAAATCCACGCACATGTAATGCTGCTTTTGTAAGAGTACCAATGGTGCATTTTATAAATTTATTTATTTCAACGTATTTTGATATGCACATTTTAATATCATGACAATTTTCCCCTACATATTTATACACATGTAAACCAATTTTCGGAAAATTTGTGCAAGTTAACAATTTACAAATTGTTGGCCTCCATCATTCACATTTTGGAGCTTGATATTTTCTGTTTCTGTCGATCTGACAGTCTTGGTCGTCATCCTGTCTTTCTGTTCACCTCTCACGTTTATACACTGCTCGGACTGTTCGGCGCGGATATGAGGTTTTCCTGTGGGGAGAGATCTGTTCCATAATTTGACTCCGAGGCGTCCTGTATAAAACCATGGCGGCAGTGGTTCCAGATGTTTATCGGATGAACACAGGAGATCAGTAACAATACCAATAGCACCAAATTTATCTAAAATCGTCATTTTCATATATTAGTTGGCTGGTGACGGAACAATAAAAAAAATGACTTTCAAATAATAATAATATGATTTCCACTGAATACCGAGGGACAAAAGAAAGGAAACATATATTACTAAAACAAATTCAAAAATTGATAATCTTTCGGACAAAATTAAAACATCTTCATAAAATATGATTTTCGCAGCGAATCACATTCGTACTGTATAATATATTCAATGGAATTTCTTGGTTTTTGTCCTTGAGATAACGCTACCACCTAGAAAACATATTGTCGAAACAAAAGATGACGTAAACAGGAAGCCGTCATCAGCTGTTGCAGTAGAAAGTCCGGATCAGGAAGCCGTCATCAGCTGATGCAACAGAAAGTCCAGAACAGGAAGCCATCATCAGCTGATGAAGCAGAAAGTCCGGATCAGGAAGCCGTCATCAGCTGATGCAGCAGAAAGTCCGGATCAGGTAGCCGTCATCAGCTGATGCAGCAGATAGTCCGGATCAGGACTTATAAGGGAAGGATTAAGGTCTCTGTATGAAATATGAAGATAACGAACAGTATTCAATCTCAAAAGTCCAATGAAACGATACGAATTTGAAGCGCTCAAAATTTAGAGGTGGGATCAGGTGCCATGGAGGAGTGAGCATCCCCTGCCGACCGGTCACACACGCCTTGTGCTCCTTGTCATGATCGGGAAACAAAAACCGGAAATATCCGTAGACAGTTCAATGTATAAATAATGGCCTTACACTGTATACATTGTCAAACAACAGCAATTCATTATGTGAGTTATCTCACGCATGTCTGTATTATTTCAATGGAAGCTTTCTTGTTCGTAGATTTGAATGAGGTAGTGCATAGCCTTGATTTTGATGAATTTCAACATTCCTTGAGCATTGTATTTCGAATGAAAATAATTTCTCTTTGAAAAATTACTTGATTAATTCACACACAAAAAACCTTGGATCGATATTTAATAATGGTCGCCTCATAATTGATTGCTATAAGCATTACACTGTGTAATGAAACTTTGATTGGTTGAAAATAGTAATTTACCCGTAAATCTTTAAGCAATGAAACTGAAAACATCCTTATTTTGCCCAGAGTATGTAATCAAGATTCAGATAAGGATTTTTGTATCTTTGTATTTTAAAATGAAATTGCAGGAAAATACATTACAACTGAACCAAAAAAAAAAATGAATTTCAGCTGCAATAATGCTGTTTGAATATACTTACGTAAAAGAAGTTACTTTCAAGGTGAACATGTATCAACCTCTGGAATGCAAAACCTGATAAACTAGTGAGACTGGCTACACAAAAGTGACATCCGATGTATTTTCCCAAATGTTCAATTGGAAAATGGCTGAAAACATAAAGGCGATGCAATACAATAGAGATCAAAAGGATTTTTAAAAATAATTGCAAAAACATCCAAGAATTAATACTGAAAACTGTTATTCGAGAACTATAAAGTAACACTCTTTGCATATAAATTCATTTTGTTACATTTAGTACATACATGTAATCATGTAGCACATGAAATTATGTTTTGATATTCTGGATTGTAGAAAAGGGGTCCGTGGGCCTTAAAGGTCACTTGAGTAACTGCAGCATATGTTGTCCTATACATGTATGATTTTAAACAAAAACATACTCCCCAGCCCCAACGTTGTCTCCAAGACTTTCGATAGTGAAGAATAAAAGTTTTTGAAGATGTATGCATTTTTACTATATCCTACATTTAGCTCCATTCTGTTGGGCTTGAAACCGATAGCTAAAGCCAAGAAATTCAAAATTTCAGTCGAGGGACCTTTGCTTGTCTTAAAAACTATGTACTCCGTTTGTTTCCTAAAGATGCTTGCTAGTAAAGGAGAAGATTGACAAAAGATGAAGTGCATTTTTATATATACTGCACACAGTTCCAGTTACTTTATCCTTTATAACACTATTTTTTCTAGTTGATAGGAATATATATATGTGTTTTATTAAACTATAACAGTTAATTTTCAAAGAATCTCAAAATTGAAAAATTTAAAGAAATAATTATTAGTGATAGGTAAAACATGCGAATTTCAAGAAAAAGCAGACTATAATTCATATCAAAACACAATTTACACATTTTCTTCTATTACTAATTACGTATTATATGCAAAACAGGAAGGAGCCATTACATGTATTTAGTTTATACTCAGTAGTATATTTTTATGTTATCAGATGTTATAATAGAAGCATAAAACCTAGATGTGTTTGAATGCATATTAAGAAGAAATTGAACATAAATATTACAAGGTATTAAAACTAGTGAATAATCAGGTGCATATTTCTGGTCTTCTTGGGTGTGTAACTGTCTGGTTGGTGCTATAGCTATAATTATAATGCAAAGCATCACCATATATTCAACAGGGTTTTTTTAAAAATATTTGTTAGGATCCTAGAAGAATAATACAAATGTCAGTGAAATGTGGATACATGCACTTGTAGTGTCGGGGGGGGGGGGGGGGAGCACATGACGCACATCTAAGTAAAAGGGAAATTATTCCTATCATCGAAACTAACAATTTCAACATTAGATTACTATTATTCCCTAGATTTGTCATATTTGATCATTCCAGAGAATTGTTTTTAATAGTAATTGTGAACAACGGTAATTTTACCTCAGATGAGAAATCAACAGTTTCTCTATAAAGGTGATGTTACGGAAATATCTGTTGATATAACATATCAAAGTCTACAGTTCTTTGTCCTGCATTTTTTAAACATAATAAATAAAACAATAGTGATTAGTCACTTGGAACTGTATCAAGCTATAAAGAAAAAGCTCAGTGAGAGTAACGTTTAGCAAAAATAAATTTCTAGATCTGTTACAGGAAACGATAAAATAGCTCTGGATTTGAAAAAAAAAATATTACTACATATACTTTGTGCATGAAAATACAAAACTTGATTGAAAATTTTAAAATAAATTCGAATATTTAACACCACTATCTATGATGTAAAGAGAGATGCAAGACCATTTCACTTGCACATGGTATTTATAAAATGTCTTCCAACTTATTCGATATTCAAAAGCATGCTCTGAGTACGAAAATTGTTAGATTGAGGCAGGTTACTGACAGATAAGTTAATGTTACAGAGATAATAACAACCTCGTTTAAACTCAGCATTCCGTGAAGTCTATGATCGTTATAATGACCTTGTAAGCAAATATAACCCATCATTGGTTCGTATTTTGGCTGACGCGTTTCATACCAATTGTTAGGCCTTTATTTTTGTACTTGACAAGGGAATATTCCGTCAACCTGATAAATACATAGGGCTCACGTCGGGTGTGACCGGTCGACAGTATCTGATCTTACCATCGGAATTTTCCGGGGGTCCATGTTTTATGCCCTGTTCACAGATTTGTATTGTTTGTAGGTTGTTGTTTTTTTTCAGATCGATCTCACTGTTCGTTATCTTCGCCTTTTTAATATTTTTTAGTATGTATCATTTTTCCTGCGGAATAATGTTTAGGGCAGATGCTACAAACAAATATTTTGTCAAAATTTATGAAAATAACGACTTAATTTATGTTTATTTAAGTAAAATGAATAAGATTTCATTTCTATTTCAGACTTTCTCAATCATGTCCTAAAAAGTGATAAAAATTTTATACAGATTTATAGGAGTGACGGCAAAAGGAAGAAATATGAAGAGCGTAGAAAGTCTACTATTTCTTAATACTTTAGAGATTTGAATATGCATTATATACAACCAAAATAAGCCCGAAAAAAATATACCTATCCGTGAACCCAATTATTCGTTTGTGACATATGCCCTTAAGAGTGGATATGGAATGCCACCAGTTTTTACTTACACGTGAGTTAAAAAGCTGCAGACACACACCAATACTGACACTCGCTCTATTATCTGTAGAACAAATCCAGCTATCTGTATGGTTATTGATGGAATAAATGGCAGAAGAGAGTTGAGCAAAGCTAAAGCACTTGAAAGAACCACCAGAAACAGAATTCTATGCATAGTCTGGATGCGAGGTGGACCTGAAAATGAGAATGTAAGAATTTACTTTCGGTATCAGAAGTATCTAAAATATAAAATAAGTACGTGTAATTAAAGAATATATATATATATATATATATATATATATATATATCTATATATATCTATATATATCTATCTATCTATCTAGCGCGCTAGACCGCTCGGCTATCTGGGCAAGTCAAAAAACTTGCTTTCGATGTCGATGGAATTCTCGCGGCGCTGTCCTACACTACATGGTCATTGAGAATGGAAGTGAGATACAGTTATTTGGACATTGGTTTATTAGAGGATCGTTACCAATACACGTTGTAATGAAATTTAATTTTATTTATAAAGCACATTTTACAACAACTTTTAAACTAACATAACTGCCCTAAGTGAAGAAATATTAATATAGAAAGCACAGAGAAATTCACTTTTTATAATTAGTGTAGTGTAGGACAGCGCGCTGTTCCCTGTACTGCTAGGAGACAGATTCCGCAGGTCTCGAGTTCAACCCCGGGCTGGGGCGGAAGTGGGTATCCTTATAAAAAGTGAATTTCTCTGTGCTTTCTATATTAATATTTCTTCACTTAGGGCAGTTATGTTAGTTTAAGAGTTGTTGTAAAATGTGCTTTATATATATATATATATATATATATATATATATATATATATATATATATATATATATATATATATATATATATATATATATATATATATATCTCGAAATTTTACGAGAAAAAAAATAATTAAGAAATCATAATATTCTTAGCCCTGATGAATTCATAAATTATTCTCATTGATCAGTGTTTAATTTTCCTTAGTATCTTTAGAAAAGAAAATCTGAGCAAATTCTGCACAATTAAGTGAAAAAATTATGGAACATTTGGAAATTGGGCCAAAATTGACCTCACTATGTGTTTATAAAAACTAGTTTTTCAATGAAATATAAAGTGAAAAAATAAAATTATGACTCAGTTATGGTCATATCTTGTAGGTCGTTTTGAATAATGTTACTTCAAAATCATACTTTAGACTGCTTTGTAGCAACCGCTAATGATAAAACACCGCTAAATGATATAAATAATCATTAAGTTTTGCAATTGCAATGCTTAATAACATAAATTATTGCATTAATAGTTGACATTCTCAACCGCTAATGCTAAATCGCCGCTTAATGAAAGAATTATATCATTAAGCGTTGAGAATGTCAACTATGAATGCAATAATTTATGGCATTAAGCGTTGCACTGCAACGCTTGATGGTATTTCTATCATTAAGCGCCGTTTTATCATTAGCGGTTGCTACACTGCTTTAATGAAATGAAGTTTGGCTTTATGAGTACTTTTTAAAAACTATTTTCAGTCATTTGTATTTACGTTGACGAGTTGACAATGAATGACAATTATGATTAATGGAAATAAACAAAACTCACTGTAACTTGATAATTTTTTCCAATCCAACAGATATCCCAGCACAGGGGCCACGGGTAATCCCAGCATCTTCAGACTTGAATACAGGCGAGAATACTCCGTATTTACTGTTAAAAAAACGAATAAGTATCATTACTCTGGGATTCCTTGCCATACAAATAATGTAAACAACGATTGGCCAAGGGAAGGAGTTTACTTATGGCATATTTCGTATTACAGCGTATTTCGAACTTTAATTCAGTGATTTTCATCTTAATCTATTTTTATATTTTCAACTGCTTCTCCAGAACCACTGAACCAATTCCAATGTAAATGTAATTTATGAAAACGTTTAAGGAAAAAGAAAATTTAATTTTGTTGACATGAAAAGGTTAAGTCCCTTCCTACGATGTTAAAAAAACTTCTGCGAGAACTACTGTGTAACAATTTGACCTAGAATTATATATGTACTTATCATGAGCTTTCAGAAGATGAAGACAAGAGACCCATGGGCGGCCTTGACGGTCTCTTAAGTATATACTATGAGTTTCTTAGGCTGTGAGCAATTTCGGCCCACCTGGAACTGGTCTGGACTAAACTGACAAAACTTTTACCGTTTGGATAGGACTCTATATTCATTATTAATGCAGCCTGTTACCTATAAGTTCGGGAGGAAAGAAGACAAAATACACTTAAAAAAAATTAAATACACATGTAAAAGCTTAGCTCCAACCCTGGGCATGATTCTTTGTTCCAAGAGGTATTAATTTCTTTTTCTTTTTATGCCCTCGTAATCGAAGATTAGGGGTTATATCGTTTTGCCCTGTCCGTCCGTCTGTTTGTCCGCAAAAACTTTAACCTTGCCCATAACTTTTGAATAGTTGGAGCTATGGCTTTCATATTTCACATGTGTATTTCTTGTGATAAGACCAACATATTTGATCCCTTGAATTTGGAGTTTGATCCACTTTTGCAAAAATTTACCCAACATTACTTCTGAACATTTGGTGCCAGGGCTTTCATATTTGACAGGTGTATTCATCGGGACAAGACCTTTCCATGGGTATAACTATTTTTGACCCTTTGAGCCACTTTTAAAAAACTTGCCATTATTTTTGAATAGTGAGCACTAGGGCTTTCAAATTTCACAGATATATTCCTTGTGACAAGACCTTCCTTTGGATACAAACAATTTTGACCTTTTGACCTTGGATTTGGTCTACTTTTGAAAAACTTTAACCTTCGCCATAACTTTTGAACAGTTGGTGCTAGGGCTTTTATATTTTGCATGTGTATTTCTTATGACAAGGTCTTCCCCTGCGTACCGTTAACTTTGACCCCTTGACCTTGACCTTGGAGTTTGACCCACTTTTAAAAAACATTAACCTTGACCATAACTTTTTGAATGTTTGCTGCTTGGGCTTTCATATTTACCAGGTATATCCATTGACACAGGTACTTTCTTTGGGTAACAGCATTTTTGATCTCTTGACCTTGGAGTTTGACTTACATTTGAGAAACTTTAACCTTCGCCATAAGCTGCTATACGGGGACTTCAGTGTTTCACAAACACATCTTTTTTTATGGTAGATGGCTAGCTGCTCATTATAATCATGTAAACAAAGAAAGAAAAGCCTGCTAGTTTTCAACGAGAAAATAAGATTTTTAAAGCTGTAATGTATTTCAGTACATGCATATGGTCGCCTTATCTAGCCTCAACCTGGAGCCTGAACTCTGGACCCAAGAGGCATCAATTTTACTATTTTGGTTAAGGGTCATGATATCATTGTAACCAAGCAAACATTATTATCCAGGACAAATTTACTCACCGTATGGAATCACTTTAGTGTTTAAAATATATTTATCGAATATTATTTGATAAGTTCTAAATTAACATGTAAAACCTTTTAGCTATTCGTGAAGCAATAACATAAATCAATCGAAGAGACTGAATGCCACACGTAATAACGTCTGTATACACGAATACTGTAGACTACGTAGAGATGTGATTGTTAGTTTCCCTTCTTATTTTTATTGAACTCGTCGTAAAAAGCCCTGGAATGGGTCCTTAGAGAGCAGAACAAATAAAAACATTACGACATGCAGTGAAAACGATGAGCTTTCACTGGATATTAGCGTCAGAACTATTCAACCTAAAACTATAAGTAGATTTGGGTTTTTTGGCACATCGATTGTAATTAATCAACAATTTCCTCTGTTTGGAGGATGTTTGTTCAATAAATGGCAGCATGCAACACAAACACCGCTCAAGACAGATTTTCTTTGGAAGTTGAATGATATTGTCGTAACGGCGACTAGATAATACCTCTGTCTGGCAAATTGTTAACGTCGAAATATGGGTTTTAGATTATTACTTTCCTTGTATGAAATTTCCATGCCATATTCCTTTACAATTTTTAGATCAGTGCATCAAAAGTGTTTTCAAAATTTCAAACTATTCCTTCTAAGTAAGAGTTTTTATAACCAGTTCCTTTAAAGCAAGTCTACTTTTTGTATGTCCTTTTGATTAAAAAAACAAACAAAACAAAAACAAACAAACGAACAAACAGACATAAGGAGCGTGAGGTGAATTCTTTTTTCTTAATACTTTCTCGAAATATTTTAGTACAGAAAGAAATTGATTGCTGCAATTAAAAACAAAAAAAATGATTAAGTTCATTGAGTTAATATCATAGCAATTATAGCCATACAAATTTGAGATAGATTGAAATTCTCTGAAGTCATGATATCTGTGTATGTGCAGTCTCGATGTTGAATACCCCCCCCCCCCAAAAAAAAAGGAATGTAACATTATTTACTTTGTTCTTTGTCTGCTCCCAATCTTATAAACAACAAACGAAAGTTTTCATCGTAAAGAAATTCCCTCATGTATTGGATGCCAAACCAGACCAGTGACCACCCAAACAGCGAGGAACAGGAAACGTTTCTGAATGCGGCAAAATCTTCTCTGTTTTTGGAATCTGAAATTAATGGGGGGTTTTCTTTTAAATTCTTTGATAGTTAGATCTGATTAAAAAGGATCTGGCACTTCGTTGAATACACTTTCAGTGATTATTGAATACTTTAAAAATATTAACTTTATCCTTAAACATATCCATAAATGGATTCAATTTACAGCTATAAAACATTCTCAGGTTTAAATTACTTATTCTTCTTTTTTTTACGTAAAATACTACTATAGGGAATTCTAGTCGTTACGAATTCAGAAAAAGCAAGTTCTGATACCTCTGGAATGTTTACTTTTCCCACATCCGCCATTTAACACACGATTGGTTCCGTAAGTTACCGGAAGTGGCCAGGGTATTCGACTCTTGGGTAAAAATGCTATCGTAGAAACCAAAATGGGAACGATGGCAATGGTTAAAAACATAAAGGATGTTTGTGTTCCTACGCCAAGGTCATTTGTTGCCTGGTTAAACAAAAAAGTAAACATCATTGTCTTGGAAATATGTACAGAAGTGATGAACTGAAGAAAAACAAATCTGACATAATTAACACGCTTCATATGTTTTAATAAGGATATGTAGCATTTTCAATAAGATTCAGTTCGCCTAGTTGGCTTTTTGGGTACAGTTTTGTCCTTAAAACTGTTGACTTCAATTTCAGATAATGAACATACTGCATTCAGAACCAAACCCATCAATATTTTTTTTACGAAGAGCTAACATTGTCTCACATCCAAACTATCAAAACGCAATATTCATCATGATTCTGTAAGTGAGGGAGTTTTAATTAGTTTGTTGATGCTACTTAATCGATGGCCATGAAATGAAAATGAGCAACTGGGATATTCTGGGGGCTATCAAAGGCTTAAAGATTGTTTTTGTTTCTCTTCACTCTTTTAGCATTCTCACGATAACTTGATGACACAACCAGTCATACTTATTACCGTGTATTTGATCTAGCGAAAGCAGATGCACTTTCTGTAAAAACTGATAAATGATGAATAATGTTATAGCATCTTTAACCCACTTAATTATTATGGCACCAATTTATGCAATTTACACAGAGGCATTATCTTATCCTGTTCTAAATCTTAACGTTTCATAGAAATATTTTAAGTCCGTGTTTATAATCTATGTTGTTGAAATAACAAGACTATATAAAATATCTTTACAATAAAAAATTTCCAGGAACATTGGGTAGCTTTTACAACCATAAGGGTTCTATAATGTACATTATGAGTGGTATTTACCTAGACTTTGCAGCACTGTAAAACAGATATTAAGACGATACGTCAATGATAAAAAAGCTCATATTCATAAACCATTTTCCATAATTAACTTGCAATAACAAGTCACTAACTACTTTGTTTCAGTGCTCAGAACAAGACCATGATTTTGGTCACTGAAGGAAAATCTAATTAAATTCATCCTTTAATTACCCACTACATCCCGTGATCGATGGAATCGGTGTCTGTATTCCAGAACGTTTTATAGAGTAGTTATACAATTTTTCAGTTCATATAAATCTATATTTAATGCTGAACTTCCATTGCTTAAGATGAGATTTACAAAAACAGGTTTCTATGAAACACGTGTCGCAGAAGCAACAAGCAAATTCAAAGAATTATGGTCCACCGATTTTTGTGTCTTAGTGGTTGGGATGCAATTATTTATGGCATAATGTAACTGACTTGTTTGTGTCCTTTAGATCAAAATCATGAAGTCAAAAATGATAAACCTTTCTGAAAGGCGTTGTCATAGGTAATGTACATGTAAAATATCTTCTCTCAATCAAAAGATCTTACCAATTTAAAAAAAAAATGAAAAAGACTGTAGGTTAAACTTAAGAGGTCGAGGTCAGTCAGGTCACTGAAGTCAAAAACCAGAGTAAATTCGGAAATGCCTTGAAACAGGTAATGCACATGTCAAATATAAATGTCCTATCTTCTCGCCATTCATAAGTTATCAGCAATGTTAAAATTGTTGAAAATTAGGTCAAACTTCACGGTCAGGGTCATAAGGTTAAACATAGTGCATTTGGAAAGGTCTTGCCACAGGTAATGCATATGTCAAATATGAATGCCCTATCTTCTCTCCTTCAAGAGTTAGCAGCAATGATAATTTTTTCAAAAGGAGGTCAAACTTGAACGTCAGGGCCACAGGGTCAAACATAAAAGCACTTTCGGAAATTTCTTGTCACAGGTAATGCACTTGTTAAATATGAACGTCCTTCCTTCTGTCATTCAAACGTTATTACTAATGTTAATTTTTTTTTTTTTTAGAAAATCACATCAAGCGTCACGGTCAAGGTCAAGAGGTAAAAAATCATAGTATGTTCGGAAAAGTCTTGTCATAGGTAATGCACATATGAAATATGAGTGCCCTATCTTCTCTCATTCAAAAGTAATAACCAATGATAAAATTTTACAAAAGTAGGTCAAACTTCAAGGTAACGGGGTCAAAAGCCATGGTGTAATTGTAAAGGTTTTGTCACATGTAATGTACATGTAAAATATGAACGCCCTGCCTTTTTTCTAATGAAATTTATGACCAAGGTAAAAGTAATGATAATTTTTTTGAAAAGTAGGCAAAACTTCAAGGTCAAGGTCACGGGTCAAAAATTTAGTATATTTGAAAAGGTCTTGTCACAGGTCATTTATTTGTGGAATATGAAAGTTCTATCTTTTCTCGTCCAGAAGTTATGACCAAGGTTAAAGTTTTTGTGACAGACAGAATGACAGATGGACAGATAGACAGATGAATGAGATTTAATGTCCCCTCGCTTTCGAGAAAGGATGTGTGAACACTGAACCGATTTTGTTAAAGATATAAGTATTTACCATTACTTTTTTGTATTCCAAAATAAACCTCAAGTGGTGTATTTTTTCAAGCAATATTGGTCATCTCATTATTGTCTCCCGATTTCGCGAAAGCGAGGGGACATTAAATCTCATTCGTCTGTCTGTCAGTCTGTCCGCCTGTCAGTCACAAAAACTTTAACCTTGGTCATAACTTTTGAATAAGAAAAGATAAGGCTTTCATATTACACATGTACATTACAAATGACGAGACCTTTCAAGATAAACTATGTTTTTGACCCTGTGACCTTGACCTTGAAGTTTGACCTATTTTTCAAAACTTTTAATATTAGTTTACATTTGTCATAAAATTTGAATGAGAAAAGATGGGCTTTCATATTTGACAGGTGCATTAACTTTGGCAACATGTATTCGAGCATTCTATCATTTTGACCCCTTGACATTGACCTCATGTTAGACCTCATTTTCTAAAATTTTAACTGGTGATTGTTTTTCAATGGCATTTGATAGGATGTTCATATTTGGCAAGTGCATTACCTGTGCCAAAATGTTTTCGACTGTGCTTTGATATTTGGCCCCTTGACCTGGACCTTCACGTTTAACCTAATTTTCAAAGATATTATCAGTGTTGCTAACTTTCGAAGGAGCGAAGATAGGGCATTTAAACTTGACACGTGCATTACATGTGACATGCATTTCCAAGTGTACTATGATTTTTAACCCCATGACCTTGACCTTAAAGTTTGACTTAATTTTCAAAAATTTTAACGTTGCTGATAACTTTTGATTGAGAGAAGATATGGCATTTACATTTAATATGTGCATTACCTGTTTCAAGACCTTTCCGATTGTATACTCTGGGGTTTTTAAAATGTTTTTTCACATGTGCATTACTTGTGACAAGACCTTTTGGATTGTATTATGATATTTCACCTCATTAACCTCATGACCTTGCTCTTGAAGTTTGATATAGTTTTGAGAAGCTATAATCTTTGCCATAACTGTGATTGATTCAATAATTTATGTCTCTTTTGTATGATGCACAGACAAGACAGGATACACAAACAAGAGAGTTAAAATATGGGCGACGTCCGTGCGATATGTGGAGTTTTGGGTATCACAGGCGTTCGTCATCAAAAATATTCCTTCCATTCTTACAAAGTTACTACCTTTTTATCTACAGAGTTTTACTGGTTTCATAGCGCGCTCACAATAGAGCTTGTCCTTGTATTAAATAAAAAGAGAAAATCATAAGATTGTAAGAATAAGTGTGGGGTATTTAATTTCTTCTTTTTTAACCCCTCCCCCTAATATTTCAATTTGATCATTGTTCATTATTTTCAATGTATCATGAACAAAGTCTATTCTTAAAAACCTGTAAAATCTTAATTTTCCATCTTCAAATAATATAGCCTACACGGTAGCTCATCGGTACCATGAGCGCTCGCTCCGTGATCTGAAGGTCGTGTGTTCGAATCACGGCTGCGACTGACTTAAGTCGATAAAAAATAGGTAGCAACAACTTCGCCAAGCGTTCGGCACTTTGAAGTGAAAGTTGCCGGTCCTTCGGATGAGACATTAAAGCACGAGGCGTTGGCACGATAAAGAACCCTTACTGCTCAATGGCCCTGAAAATTTGAAGCCCTTCACCGATATATTGTGACGTCTCTATATATGAGTGAAAAATTCTAAGGGGACGTAAAACAATCATATAATGTAAGTTATGTTTCAAAATTTTTCAACAATTCTCATGCAATATTTGAGGAAAAACTCAATTTTCTAAAACCTTTACCTTCATACAACCCATGATCAACGAGCAGGAGTGATATGCTCCAATAAATGTGGCCATGACAGTATATCGGTGTTCTCCGAATAAATTAGCAACCTGTAGGTTTGTGATGAGAAGAACCAGACCTGCTAGAGATACTAACACCAGGGCGGGTATCAACAGCCAAGGCGCTAGAAGTGAAAAAAAAAATTTTTAAAACTTTTTCAAGTCTCAAAACAAAAATCAACAAAATCATGCATTTTTTTTACTCTATTATTGCATTGTCTTGAAGAAAGAAAAAAGGACTAACAAGGACCAAACGGAACGTAATCTTGCATCTAGATGTGGATGAATCATGCTTGGGTCTTAAGTAATATCATACAATTTATTTACTGGTATTCCTGTCGTTAGGTTGAATGTTGACTGACGTCTTTCATTCGAATTGTTAGGCCATTATTTTCACACCGAAATGTTTACGAAGTTATTCGTTTAACAGATGATGACAAGGGACACACAACGGGTGTATCTATCAACAGGGGATGCTCACATCTCCATGGCAAATTTACTGTCCAAATCCTGGAATTTGCCATTATCGACCTTACACCATCAAAAAGTGGGGAGGAGGGGGGCAACTAGCATCTAAAGGAAAATTTACTATAGCAAAATACTATACCCCCCCCCCCTCGTTCTACGGGTCTGAGATTTATAAAGTTATTATGCATTTAAATATATGATCAACTTAATTAACTTTGGGTCTGAACACTGATGACAAAATAATCACAATTTAGTAAAGGGCTCGTAGCTTAACGTTATCCTGCAAACAATACCCATACAGGAGTAGAGCTTCATTCGTGTATTTTCAGACATGATCAGCTTAGATTACCTGTAGCTGGACATAGGGATGTTGAATTTTAAAATTTTGGTAAACCCCAAATATGTGTCTGACCAAAAATTAAATAGAAGGGGCACAATGGCACTTTGTAATGTACATTCTGCAAAAGTCTCATTAAATCTTATTAAGCGGTATAGGAGGTACTTCCGACATTATATAATGGCAGTGTTCAGGTTTTACATAGTTCCATTGTGCATTTCCTATTTTTCGTTATTTGGTGTTTCCCAAAGCAAAATATGGACCTTGCCATTATACTCATCTGGTCGCGGGGGTATCATTTTGTGAGCTCAGAGTACCTATACTCTGTGATATAAATCAAGAAACGTGGAAAGTTTTACAATGTTACTTGGCAAAGTAAGTTTTATTGGACTTTCAAAATACAAATAATGTCACAAAACCTATAGATAGATGTTTTGGTGGAGAAAATTGGCATGTAATAAATATCACAAATGGCGTCTAGAAAGGCAATCAAGGAAGCAATATCTATTACTACTTGTGCATTATCTAGCTGTTTAACCCGAATCTATTGTCATTAAAAAACACGTTAGGGGATATCGTGTAACACGTCAGGGGATATCGTGTCAGGCAAACAAGCTAGGCATTGAGATAGAAGAGTTTCGTCGCTGAATTAGGAAAGAGATAAATGACCACTAACTTACCGGTACTCGAAAACGTCATCATCAGCGTCCCCGTGATGAAAGTAAATCTGGAGAAGAAAAATATCGATTAGATATTTTTAAAATAAGAAAGCTCATTTCCTTCGAGTTGTTTCTTTTGTAATCTTCTAAGAATCTGTTAGCAGAGAAAGTAACATGATACGCTTAGTCAGATATCAGTGTTTATTTTCCAGTATAGTTGTAACGAATACATTCTTTAGAGAGAAATGTTAATGTATTTTAATGCGCTCGGATCGATAGATCGGGGGCGCATATTGTTTTTGTCCTGTTTGTCTGTCTGTTGTCAACTTTAACCTTCGCCATAACTTTTAAACCATGAGAGATAGAGACTTCATATTTGGAATGCTTACTCCACTAATTGAGCTCTTTCAAATGACACCAAGGTCAATGACCTTGTGACCTTGACTGTGACCTATATGCTAAAAATAGCTTTTTCGAACCTTCGCCATAACTTTTGAACCATAGCAGATAAAGACTTCATATTTGGTATGCATACTCCACTAATTAAGTTCTTTCAAATGACACCAAGGTCAATGACCTTGTGACCTTGACTGTGACCTATACGCTAAAAATAGCTTTTTCGAACTTTGTTGCCGCCGGGTGCATAGTGTTTCACAAACACATCTTTTTTTTTTCTTTTTAAAGTTTCTGATTAGTTCAAATGCAATGATAAAATCACTTGAGTAACTATTATTGATTTTTCCCCCTGGTAATCATATTTTTCATTTAAAATCCGTATCATTATTGCTTTCATTCAAATATTTTAATTGATAAATAGAAAATACGTTAGAAAGACAATATAAAAAGCAAAATGATAAATTGCTGCATCACTTGGCAAAATGAAATCTTCATATGATAAAATGTTGCCCTTATTACCATGATACTTCATTGCAATCATTAGAATATTTTCTTTATTTGCTAATGCTATAAATAGTATCGTTAGTTATGTTTTCAACAGGACCGCAGTTAATTTCTTTTCTTTTTTTATGGATTTGTCATAAAAAAATTACCTTGTGGTGTCTTGCTTTGAGATAAAAAACTATAGTGGATTTATAATTGATATCATAATGACAATCAACCCTCCTTTGACAAAAATGGATATATCTCTCCTTCCCTAATTACAACTCCGGCGATTACTAATAACTTTGTGACCTTTGTGGTTAAGTCCTTTTTCAATATAAATTAAATATAATGCAATGGTTAACGTTAAATAGAGGATTGGATATATATATGAATTTATTGACTTTTTAATCAAAGTTTGAACATCTCATTGACTTTAAAGATATTTTACCTTGAGACTAGAACATGACACATACCTTTGTGATATCTTACCTTGAGACTAGAACATGACACATACCTTTGTAATATCTTACACTGAGACTAAAACATGACACATACCTTTGTGATATCTTACCTTGAGACTAAAACATGACACATACCTTTGTGATATCTTACCTTGAGACTAGAACATGACACATACCTTTGAGATATCTTACACTGAGACTAAAACATGACACATACCTTTGAGATATCTTACCTTGAGACTAGAACATGACACATACCTTTGAGATATCTAACCTTGAGACTAGAACATGACACATACCTTTGAGATATCTTACCTTGAGACTAGAACATGACACATACCTTTGAGATATCTTACCTTGTGACTAGAACATGACACATACCTTTGAGATATCTAACCTTGAGACTAAAACATGACACATACCTTTGAGATATCTAACCTTGAGACTAGAACATGACACATACCTTTGAGATATCTTACCTTGAGACTAGAACATGACACATACCTTTGAGATATCTTACCTTGTGACTAGAACATGACACATACCTTTGAGATATCTTACCTTGTGACTAGAACATGAAACATACCTTTGAGATATCTTACCTTGAGACTAGAACATGACACATACCTTTGAGATATCTAACCTTGAGACTAGAACATGACACATACCTTTGAGATATCTTACCTTGAGACTAAAACATGACACATACCTTTGAGATATCTAACCTTGAGACTAGAACATGACACATACCTTTGAGATATCTTACCTTGAGACTTAAACATGACACAAACCTTTGAGATATCTAACCTTGAGACTAGAACATGACACATACCTTTGAGATATCTTACCTTGAGACTAAAACATGACACATACCTTTGAGATATCTTACCTTGAGACTAAAACATGACATATACCTTTTTTCCTATGGTACACATGATGAATAAGTGAAATAAATATAATTTGTGGAAAAAATGTCCGGCTTTCATAAGTTGATATAAAACAGAAACAGAAAGTAAGCAGTTGACCCTTCAGTGCACGTGTTACAGGTTTAATGTGATTGGTCGAGAGATACGAAAAACAAACAAGATTTATAATTTTCCCGGAAAATGCCGCTGCAGTCAGCCCGCAGAATATCGAGTAAAGTTTGTCAGTGGTCCGACGGCCATGTAGCAGTGGACTCAGGACCTAGAACGTTGTTAGGATGCGGTATATACATGTAGCTGATGATTATTGCATATATAGAACGACACAAGATTGTAATACTGGTGACCATTTTAAAAATGAATTAGCTTTTCAATGATTTCGTTTCACAGAGATAACGTTACTTGTAAAGGCTTGGGTTGAATGTGTAATCTATTTTTTCACGATCCACAAAAGACCTTGAAATGACCTTATGCATGATATGTAATGAATAATGTATGAATGTTTTGAAAGAGAAAAATTTTTCCTTATGTAATGGATTTGGCTGTGGTTTCTTTTCAGCTCCTTTGAAGGAAAATAATTTACATGTACATCGCTAAATGTTTTATATCTAGCACGTCCAGAAAGCGCTAAATCAAGTCTTCGCCAACTGGTTGCAAAATCAATATCCGCCAAATATCGCACATTAAATGAAAAACATTTTACAGTCCTGAATATATACTAGTATGTAGCCTAATGAACCTATGACCCTAAACCTGGAACTAAGCTTATTTTTGAAATGATGGGATAAAAAAAATGCATGAATTTTAAAAAAAAAATCTAGTTAACTTTGTTTTTCTATCCCATTATTAAGCCCCCCCCCCCCCACTGGAAGATGATAAGAAGGTTCCATATAATTATTTCTTATCATAATAAAAGATAAGCAGCATGACCACAGAAATCGATTGCAGTATTAACAGAAGAATCCAGCACTGGTTGAATTGTCTAACCACCTTTTAGATAAAAACATTATTGTGTTTGAGATTTCATAATGGCGTGGGCTGACGACTAATTATTGATTGAAACCGAGGACAAGGAAGTAGCCTTTCAAAAGAAAAAGGCTGGGGAGCGTAAATTACTCCCTCCCAAGCATTTATGTTCCCTAACAAAAATACTGCAGTTAACTATAGTTTACTATAAATAACTATAATTTACTATAGTATCAAAGTTTTTACTATAGTAGATCAGAGAATTTTGACTATGGATTTCTGATTGTTATATTTCATGTTTTCCAATTCAAACACACACATCTTGATATTAAATAGAAGTTTTTTTTAGTTTTTCACGTATTATTTCCAAATTTTACATCATTTTTACTGAATTTGTGAAATTTTAAGCTTGAAAATCTCAAAAAAGTTCTAAAGTTTCATAGAAAATCCAAATATCAAAGTATTTAATAGGATTAACTATAGTAAACTATAGTTAATTATAGTTAACTGTTGTAAATTTTTGTTAGGATTAAGTCCAAACACTTAATAATTTTTTTTCATTATATTCATGATGTTATATCATGTATTCATAATTTTACCTAAACATATGCATATATATATTATATATAGAATGCAAAAGAGGCGATCGGTCTGTGGCGAAGACTTCGTATCAGATTTATCCCCCCCCCCCCACCACCACCACCAAGATTCACTGATTCTCACCGATTTCTTGAAGATCTATGAAGTTAAATTAAATACAAAGACAGTCTGTGTTTAATGGCAAGCTTTAGTATTTATTCTGGAAACAAGATATTTCTTTTATTTAGATATTTCTTAATTTCAAGAGAAAGTTTATACAAATATAATGTAGAAGATATCTCTACGATATTTCTCATTCTTGAAGAGATATCAGCTTTTCTTTACGATATGTTTCTTTATGACAATTTTAAAAAGATGTCTCTATGATGAAGCGATATATCTTTAAAAGAGACAATTGTTTTGCGAAGAGAAATCTTTCCTTCCGAAATATAGATATCGTTTATGCAAGAATAGATATATTTCTTAAATTTCTAAAGAAATATCTATCTTCAGAAGGGATAATCTATTATAAGAAAAAAAAGTAATCCCATTTCGCAGGAAAGAATTCATTCTGCATCTCATTGAATAGTTATTAGTCATATAAACGTTTGGCTGCATGAAACATACGTTTAAAAAACGCAGATACGCCTAAATAAACAGACAGCAACAACGTTTGCTTCTCTCATAATTTTTTTTCAAATATAAAATTCAATATCTACATGATATTTTTATAACTACATTTGTTTGATTTAAATATCAGGATTTCTGTTTTCGTTGTTATAATCAAAGATTGTAAAAGCCTCTCTGTCATGGAACAGATCAAGAAAAAATATATAGGATTTTGAACACTCCACCCCCACCTTCCCAATAATTATTGATTGCACGATAGAACATTACTCTCGATTAATTCTGCATTATCTCGAGGGTTGGTTATTCCTTGGCTGGCGTGTCAAATAATTCTAACCCGTTTGGTTTATACTTGAGGGCATATAGATAACATATAATAATGTAAAAAAAGAAAATGGGAAAGTGAGAATCATTAAATTTTATTGATAAACAAGCATCAAAATAAAATCAACAGAAAATCGCTAATATCATTTTTGAATTAATCGTTAAAACAGAAACCCAATTCTTAAAGTATTAAACAAAAGAGAGAAATGACATTGATTTTCTAACAGACAGCGTCATCACTCAGCGTGATACAACGAGTGGAGCAAATTGAAAAAAAAAGCTACGAAAAAAATGCATCCTATTTCTTAAAAATACTGAGTCCTGTCGCACAGCCAATTAAGTCACGGAATATTTCTGTAATTCATAGCTGAACTTACCAAACACAAAGTAACGCACTGGAGGGTGAAAAACTAGATGTTCAATAGCAAGTAGAACAAAACAAAGCAATCCCACAAAGAAAGTAACTAAATTGTTTAAAAAGAACAAAAAACAAAATAAATAGATACATAAATTAAAAAAAAATAACGACCCCCCCCCCCCAAAATAACAAACAAAAAGTCATAGTATTAAAGCAAAGTACCAGAACGACCAAAAAAGTTTCTTGGACTAGAAATCCTAAATGATTCATGTATCAAAAAGTCATCTATTGTGCTGAATAATAAATCTTAACTATGGCAGAAATACTGCTCAAATAACTAATGAAATTATTCTTTAAATGAAGAAGTGACACCAAGTGCATTTTAAATTGTGCATACTTGATTTATATTCAATCAAGAAATGCTCTGCGTGAAAAGAAATGAAAATGAAATGTAAGAACTTTAACAACTGCAGAAATTAGTCCTTATACAAACTGAACAAAAAAAGAGATATCTTTTTGTTGCATAAGAGATTTCTATATCTCTTTTCAAGATAACGATATCTTTTTGTTTAAAAATATATCCATTTAAAGGAATAGATAATTGTTTTTAAAATAGCAAGAAATAACTTCAAAGAGGTAGCTCTAGGATCTGTGACAAGCAATATACATCTACATGTATTCGCTTAACAGTAAAGTTTCCCCTTACCGTTAAAGAACTACAGGGTATATATTTTAAATACATGTATTTAGAAAAAAAATAGTAACTAGTTGTCACGATAAAAATAAAATTCTTGAGGATTTTCGAAGATGTCTTGTGTCTTGCAAAACACATGCCAAATATAAACTCAAAGACTAACTTTCACGACTCAAAAGTTAGACATTGACTGATTGAGTCGGAGGGAAGACGGATAGAAGGAGAGACAGGTCTGGGATAAAGCGATTCCTATAGAGTTAGTCAGATGACGCATAAAGAAAATTGAAGAAAAAAAATAGTACTTATAATAATGAGATGTTTATCGGCTAGGTATTTAGTATAGATTGAATTCTCATCATTGAAAGCAAACCAAACAAATTTCAGAAAGGTTTAAGAAATCCATACTCTAGGGGGCATGTATGCTTCCTATAACACTCTAGCTGAAATGCCACAAGGTATGTATAATTTGTTTAGCAAAGTTTTGAAATGTTTGGAGAGGTTCTTCTGTGTTTTCCGAAATGATGTCAATTAAGCCACTTGTTTGCTTCGCTTCGAAAAGTACTGAAGAATGATATACTTGTAGTCTAAGCCATAGTAATGGTGACGGAATGCCATTAACAGACGTCCTACGCCTTAATGAATAGGAAGTGGGTTTATTTCAGACGTCTTTCTCATTACATGCACGATGACAGGAAATGAATGATGCCGAAAATGACTTATCTGAAAAAATTGCCATTTTATAGGGATACAGAGGATAGACGTAGTAATTCTTTAAGATACTAATATCCGCGGATGTCCACTTAAAACGCTCGTTATGCACGAGCATTATCACATTTCTTTTATTATCTTTTGTCACTGTAAAATTGATATGTCAATCAACTGCTTTGTCCATCTGAAATGACTGCAAGTATCTAGTTGTAAACGAGTATTGTTGGTTGTCTGAATAATATACATGTGTGTTACTGTCTGTTCGTTACTGAGTGTACTAATATTGAAATAGGTGGTAAATAAGGGTAGAAATATTAATGTACAAATAGTTACTTAAACACCACTATAGGCGACAGAATGGTTAAAATGACATTAATGCAAAACAAACAACTAATTTTCAAAAACATACTTAATTATAGAACAGACTAGCTTAAAATAAAATCTCTCTCAGTATTCAGCCTGCGATCCCAAATTTTAGGGGGGGGGGGGGGGTGCCTGTTATGAAAATGAATAGATGAAACCAAGTGGATTTTGAATCGGCTTCTGTGAGTCGTTCAAGGAGTACTTGCAGATCGTAGAGGAAAAGATCAAGTGATGAGATCATGTGATGCATTGAAGAATCTTTATATTAATGGCGGAGTATCATATTTAGTATGGGAGCATACTGTACACGTCAGTATAATATGAATAAATTAATTGTTGAGCTGAAACATAATATAACAATAACCGATATGTCTTTCCCTTTCTTCCCTAAAAAAATACTATAGTTAACTTATAGAAAATCAAAGTGTCAAAGTTATCACTATAGTAAAACAAAGTTTTCAAAGTGATCACTATAGTGTCATAGTTATCACTATAGTAAATCAAAGTTTTCAAAGTGATCACTATAGTGTCATAGTTATCACTATAGTAAATCAAAGTTTTCACGATAGTAAATCAAAGTTTTCACAAAAGTAAATCAAAGTTTTCATAGTGATCACTATAGTTAATCAACGTTTTCATAGTTATCACTTCAGTAAATCAAAGTGTCAAAGTTATCACTATAGTAAATCAAAGTTTTCATAGTGTCAAAGTTATCACTATAGTTAACAATAGTAAACTATAGTTAACTTAGTATTTTTTTTGTTAAGGTTGTTCGCATGAACACTTGCAAATCCTCATTGTCAAGGCTTTGTGATATCGTTCCACGGGGCTAGCCGCGTACTGTAGTTGTCTTGATACTGGGCTCTCCACGTACTGTAGTTGTTATGTCACTGGGCTCTCCACGTACTCTAGTTGTTATGACACTTCTCCACGTACTGTAGTTGTTATGCCACTGGACTCTCCACATAAAGCGGTTTTGACACTGGGCTCTCCGTGTACTGTAGTGGTTATGACACTGGGCTCTCCGTGTACTGTAGTGGTTATGCCAATGGGCTCTCCACGTACTGTAGTTGTTATGACACTGGGCTCTCCACGTACTGTAGTTGTTATGACACTGGGCTCTCCACGTACTCTAGTTGTTATGTCACTGGGCTCTCCACATAAAGCGGTTTTGACACTGGGCTGTCCGTGTACTGTAGTGGTTATGACACTGGGCTCTGCGAACTGTATTTGTTTTGACACTGGAATCTCTACATATTGTTACGGTTATGACACTGGGATCTACACGGTCTTTAGTGCTTATAACACACTGTAGGGTTCTCCACGTACTGTAGTTGTTATTACACTGGGCTCTCCGTGTACTGTAGTGGTTATGCCACTGGGCTCTTCACGTACTGTAGTTGTTATTACACTGGGCTCTCCGTGTACTGTGGTGGTTATGCCACTGGGCTCTCCACGTACTGGGCTGTTCACGTACTGTAGTTGTTATGACACTGGGCTCTCCACGTACTGTAGTGGTTATGACACTGGGCTGTTCACGTGCTGTAGTGGTTATGCCACTGGGCTGTTCACGTACTGTAGTTGTTATGACACTGGGCTCTCCACGTATTGTAGTGGATATGACACTGGGCTCTCCACGTACTGTAGTGGTTATGCCACTGGGCTCTTCACGTACTGTAGTGGTTATGACACCGGGCTCTTCACGTACTGTAGTTGTTATGACACTGGGATCTCCACGTACTGTAGTAGATATGTCACTGGGCTTTTCGCGTACTGTAGTGGGTTATGACACTAAGTTCTTTCCGCCAAGTGTAATGGTTATGACACTGGGGTTTCCGCGCACTTTAGTAGGTTATGACTTTTACTGCGCTCTTTACAGGAAAGGTTTTGGTCAAAGGGAGTTTGTTTCTTGTACCGCACAATTTCTATTTCCCATATTTAATGAAAATTTATTACATTATTTCAGTGTTTTATTAATCAGTCAGCGGTCATTTCTTTTAATTTCTAGTCCTATTTCATATTTATGTGATTTACTGTGCAATTCATACTCAGAAGCCTTTAAAACCTCACTTTTTGGATAAAATAATAATTTTTAAAAACAAATTGGTAATTATTTTTTTCCAAGATATCATCATTGAATCTAGTTATCGATTTTAGAAGATCGAGAGAAAAAAATGAAGGGCAAAAGTAGGCTGCCAACACATATCTAAAAAAGAATGTTCGTGTACTCTAACACTTATGCCATGGAAATGGGTATTCAAACTGTTTAATGGGTTTGTTTCGGTATATTATGAAAAAGTATATATGAAAAAGAAGTAAAAAGATAACTTAAGCTAAGCATAGTAGATAGTAAGAATTTTCAGTAGTTGAAATTACCGCCTTTATGCAAAACCCTCTTAATTAAATAAACTTGTACTTACACAGTTAGAAGTCGACTCCGGGTTGTTCCGTATTTGTCCATAAATATGCCAACCGGCAAAATAAGAAAGTTCCTGATGATAATGATAATGTCATATAAAAGGTTAAGACGTTCTTCCTGTTCGTCACAAAAATACTGGGTACCATTAAACGGCAGACGATTCTCAAATTCCTGTGGTGCCAGAGTAGTTGTAGAAGTGGTCCTACATTTGGACCACCGTCCATTTCTTGAGCTATCTTGAATGGGTTCACTTAGGCTTTGACCTTTGGAAATCTCATCCTCTGAAAAGGTGACATTGCAAAGGTCCAAAAAGAATGCGTCTCGTCTAAGAGTAACAGTCAGCCACACCCATCCAAATATCACCCCCGTGAAGAAAAGGCACTCCAGCAGGGCCCATACAAAAGTCACATGTCGCTTGTTGCAACAGCAGGAACCCATCGTCATCTCACGACTGTGTTCTGAAAGTTGGGAACCACAGAACAATGTTTATATGATTGTTACTATTGATTTTCCGGTTTCAAAGTTATCAAGGCAAACGATTTATATATTGCAAAATAGGAGATATGTTATGAAATACTAGTAGAAGATAAATCTCGTCAACATTCAAATTAACACAACTGATGGAAAACGGACAAACCATGCTAACGTTTATTAATTTTTTATTAGAAAGGGGAATAAATTATTTGATTCATGGACTTCAATAAAAAAAAATCATATATAGGATCTCCCATGGTTTGTGGTTGGATATCCAACGATTTTTTTTATCCCGAGCCTTGGCGAGAGGATAAAATACACACGACGAGTTGGATGAAAAAATATATCTAACCACAAACCATGGGATATTCTATTCCAGACGATATCTGAAGAAGCCTTTGAGCTTTTGCGATGAAATTTTATATCACAACTCCCTATGGGCTAAAAAAGACTCCTATTGATTTTGAGGTCAAAAGGTCAAGGTCATAATTTCATATATTCTGTATGTGTGTAACATTTTCGTTTCTGGGCGATATTTTAAAAAAGCCTGTGAGCTTTTGCGATGAAATTTTATATCACAACTCCTCATGGCCTAAAGACCCCTTTTAATTTATACCGGTAGGTCCAAAAGTCAAAGTTAGAGATTCATATATTGCAAATAACAGTTTCAAGATGATGACCTTAGTTCTCTTTCAGCTTTTTCAATGAAATTATATATCATAACTCCTAGTGACTTAAAAAAGACCCCTACTTTTTTTTTTAGGTCAAAAGGTCAAAGGGAAAGTGGCTCATGGATGATTACTTTTCCTTGAGTTTTTTCTATGAAATGAGATGGGTGAACATGACGAGCGATAAGCCTATAGTGTGACAAACATGAAGATGAAAAATTAAATTTCAATATATATCAAAATTTTCCTTGATATTTCGTCTGACATTAAAATATACTTTATGTAAAATCTCTACAATTTGCAAAAATCCCTCAAAAATTGAAATTATTTGCCGGTGAAATATTAGACACACACCAAAGCGGGCAAAAAGTCATTTTCTCATACTATAACACTATTTTTCGATATGAGTGGGTCTTCGCTCCACCTTTTTGAAAGTTAATCCTCAAAGTTTGCATGAAAATATACTTTTTTTGGTTACAAAAAATATGGAGCAATGACCCACTATACCTTAAAAATATACTTTTATGACATAACATTCGTATCTTTTCGAGAAATACTTGAGGTCCATTAAGTCAAGGGTCATATCACAAACATAACTTAAATACCACTCTTCATCAGGACTTGTGTAGTCTAGTGGTTAACGTGCTAGTCTCGAAAGAAAATGATACTCGGGATTTTCATTGCTAGGGTTCGAACCCCACAAATACCACATTAATTTTTTTAATAAAAGAATAAATTTTGTCGAGAAAATTCTTCAGAAAAGTTTTGTTTATCATAATTTCATAAATTTCAATAATGAGAACTTTACTCTAAATACTAAATTCACAAACTGAACATGATTTTTATATATCTGAAGCTATAGGCTTTCTGCACGCTATGTTCGCCCATCTCCTTTTGTAACTTCCAAAGGCTCCAAGCAGACCCCTTTAAATTTTTAGATAAAAAGATCAAGGTGAAAAATACATATCTAGCATAAAATGGTTTCCAGGTTATAACTCAAGTTCTCGTTGAGTTTTGCAATGAAATTGTATACCTTAAATATGAAATAAAACGACTCCTATTAATTTTAAGGTTAAAAGGAAAAAGACTTACGTATATATATATTGCATACATAGTTTTCAAATAACTTTAGGTCTCTGTAAGCTTTTGTAATGAAACTTAAAGTTAATGTCATGAATTTCTTTAATGTAAAAAGGACCCCTATTGACTTCAAGTCCAAAAGCTGAAAGTTTAAGGCTGGTCTTTTATTTCTCTTTCCATCTGCAGATTTTTTTTTCCAGTTCTTCCACCATCTCCTTAAGCGAGTTACACAAAATCTCTGAATTAGCTTTTTTTTTAAAAAAAAAAAATGGTAATGGGGAAGGGGCTTCGTTTAGAATAAAGTATCCATGTACTTTTTCTTCAATTTTGAAAAACAAGAAATGAGTACTATCATTTAAAAATGTTTAAGAAAACTGCTGTCTTTGTTGTTGCTGTTATTAGGTAACTTTTGATAGTAATCTTTTATTGTGTCATGGCTTAATGTTTTTTTTTTTAACTTTTCTATTACTATATCCAGTACTAGTAACTCATTAATTTTTTCCCCAGTCTTTTTAGTCCTGATAAAAGCAAAATGCTTCTGTAACTGATTTTGTTTCAAAATGTTTTTTTTTAATCTACTTAAGAAAACCAGGGACCCGTTTTACAAAAGAACTTACGACTAAGACCAAATACTTTAGTTGATTGTAAAATTTTTCCACATTAATTATTCTATTTAAAATTGATGGCATAAAGGTATCTTTCTAAATTCTTTTTAAAACTATTAAAATCATTTTCATATAAATGTTCCATAGATAGTAAGAGGTGGAATTATATGTTGATCTTAGTCATAAGTTCTTTTGTAAAACGGGCCCCAGGTAAGAAAGTCTTCATTAGGGTTGAAAACTACAGATATATTAGAAACGATGACGAATTTATCGCAAATAACTTTTTTAAAATTCTGTCTTTGACCAGTGACATGACGTACCACTTTTTACAAGGTAATAGTGTTGATATGATGCTAAAACATGTTCTTTTTGTCGACACTGTTTGATGTCTTTCTATTTTTTCATTTCCAGTGCCACTTTTATAGAGGGTCCAGCTACAGCCATACCTCTAAAGTTTACCTAAAACAATATGCTCATATTCCGTTCATCTGGGTATCGAGAATATTTCTACAAACTCCCAAAATATACATGTGTATGATAAATCTTTATATCATATATAAGCTCCTCAAATTGTTCTGCTGAAAAGCATCAATCAGGCCCGTAGAACGCGGGGGGGGGGGGGGGCACATTTTTCTGAGTTTAGTACTCTGCCATAGTAATTTTTCATTTAAATGCTACTCCCCCCTTCACTTTTTCTTGTTGTAAGGTTTTTATGCCCCCCCCCCCCCCACTTTTGAAACCGTTGCTACGGGCCTGTCAGTGTCATGTGATCCCCCCACTTGGACTGATTTAAGCTGAATAATATGACAGTTTGACTTTATCTTTAGTTAGTTATCCTCTGTTGGTATCATTGATACTGATATTACTAGTTTTACGCAAGTAGTAATCTATTTTGTGTCTTGGCATAATATTGCTTTGTGCATTGAATTATACCTTTCATTTAATTAACAACGTTTCAATATTTCTTTGCTACTATTTTATAGCCTTACTAAGAAATTCATAAAATTTATTTATTTGAATTCCTGAGTCATTCGTCTATTTCGTGCGAACATCTAATGTTTCTCAATTCCTTAGTAATTACCCAGTAAATGTTTGCAGTCAAGGTATGAACAGATAAACGTGGTGACTCATACAGGACAACTAATAGGCCCCTGTTTTATTTGCAGGGGTCACCAGTACATGTATGTGTTTTATAAGTATAATGTAAAACAATGATATAAAAATCTTTTAGAGGTGACCTTTACGTATTGTTAATCCATTTTCACAAGTTCTCCATCCCGGATTTAAATTATGTGCAAGTAACTCTTGAAGGATTAAAAAATCTCTAATTCGGATAAAACTGGAAACTATTTTTACCAAATAATAATGAAACAAGAGAAATCGTCTACTCTGTTCAATCTAACGAGACAGTAATTCCTCAAGTTTCGTTCAAATTCTTTTCATCTTTTTTTTAAATCTTTTTTTCATTTCTCGGGAAAGGTAGACTTAATATCGTTTAAGAATAAAAGAAAAGATTTTTAGTATTGACAGAGAGGAAGTAATGAAGTATTTTTATCAGCTCAAATTCACATTTTAATTTTATTAAAATAGTAAAAATAAGTAAAAGTAACAAAATTAATTTTGAATAACATTATAAATCAAAATTGAATTGTCAAAAACTTTGTTTGAACATCAAAATACGACTTCGCCAATTTTTCCAAATTATCCGACTTACAATTTTCAATTTTTTCTAATAAGTTGTGGTAGATAAACATTAGTTTAAATCCGGGATGGAGAACTTGTGAAAATGGATTAACAATATGTAAAGGTTGGTTTTCTTGTGACAGTTGTGTGTATTTCTGTTGAAATTGTTAATATAACACGTCAGTTACCGTACATTCGAACATATTTTAGACGAAATGTCAGTTGAAGTGTAGGCCGTCATCGGTTCGAAATTTACACATTTTCCAGACTCAAAACATGAAGGCTTGCGAAGAGAAGTGGATGTAGGCGAAAGCCTGTCCACTTCTCTAAAGAGAATAGATAGACCCATTCTTATACCTGACAGAGATATAGATATCACAACTTCTGTATGAGACACACAATATATATAATACTCATTTATAATACTGAAAATGATTTTGCCTGCTAGGTGTCAAAATAGCAATTAACTTGTAATAATTCATAGACAACTCTATCCTGGACCCAAACTATGTACCAAGGGGTTATGGATGTTTGGCAGTGGACTGATTGTTGCTTTTTTGTAATCAAGAATTCAGTTTGCCTTTTGGATGAGAAAAGATTTAGCACCGCCCTGGTGCCCGAACTTTGCACGATAACAGCCTTCCCTCCCCCTCCGCTCCCTTTTTGTTCATTCTAGCAACTTGTGGTATACCTCGCTAAACTTGTAAGAGAAGAGCGACAATTCAGTTTGAAATCATGATAACATTATGTGATGGTGCGTTTTTGTTTGTTAAGTAGTTTTTTGCTTTATTAGCTCACCTGAGCTGAAAGCTCAAGTGAGCTTTTCTGATCACTTGTTGTCCGTCGTCCGTCCGTCTGTAAACTTTTCACATTTTCAACTTCTTCTCAAGAACCACCGCTGGGCCAATTTTTGCCAAAGTTGGTAGAAAGCATCCTTGTGTAAAAGGG